ATTCTACAAACTACCTGGGCCACCTGGGTGTACTACACTGATGATAATAATTGGAGCTGGTGAATATGACCTAGCAAGAATTCTAGCTGCCCTAATAAGAAACAAGCATGGCAGAGAATGAGAGATAAACGTCATGATGGTCCAAAGACCTGCCACTTAAATAAAGACGTTAAGAATCTGATGGTCGGAAGAACAAAGGGAATTTTTCTTTAAAACAAAGGGCAGCTGTTTCACTTTACATCCTCCACCAGTGAAAATACAAAGCACTTGTAAGCCTCTTTGGGTTTTGAGACACCATATTTTGGAATTCTACTCTGAATTGGATAATTCAGAAGGCTCTCCATTTTTTAAGCGGAGCTCTACAGTGAATGCAGACTCCATTTCAAAATATCCCATGATCGGGCCATATGACTCAGAAGAATTGTGGTCCTAGATGTGTCCACAGTGGCTAAGGAGGCAGCATGGTAAGGCGTTGGAATTCTGAAGCAATGACAATCTGCAGTAAAGAACTATTTCCCATTTTTAAAGCAGCTACTGGTGTGCCAAGGAGTCCTCATAGATACTGAATTTCTAACCCGAAGCACCTAGGCAGTATGTGACAGCAGCTTAACATAATAAGCTAGTTACCAGATATAGCATGTTACCAGCTCAGAAGGTGATGAATGATACATCCAAGGCCAACTCAAGTAGGTTAAGAAGGCCCAGGTAAATTGAACACACGTGGCCCAGAATCTCAAAGACGCTGATGTTTCTTCCTCACCTCAACACTCTGGCTTAATGGGAAAGAGATCAAGGAGACACTCCTATTATTACTATCTGGTAGAGGGAGGGGGAACATTTAGAAAAGATATGTTCATGTTGTTTTAGCATATTCTGATGTGATCAATAAATGGATTGCTCCTATAACGACAATCTTACTCAAAGGTGGACTTAAAGGACCATGGCAAAAGAAACCCTCCCAATCGGCAGCTGCAAACAATACGCATAGTTGTTTCCCTGTATGGATAACTGGCAGAGATATGGGCATATGCACATTCCTCATCAGTGGCTGATGGCTCGGCTGGTTAATTAGGGACTGGAGAGAAGCCAGACTGATAGGCTTGTATTCTACATGGGGTTTAGTGAAACTAAAGATCTTGAGATAAATGCTAAAATATCTTAGAAACTTCCCATTCTAGTATGAACAATATACACTTATAGCTAAAGTTCAAAGCTTGATCTCTAGACAGCCCCTATCATAATCTGTTATTTAGGAGAAAATTGTGTTGCCTAATTTCTTCTGTAAAAATAACAGATTATTGCCTCTGAAATATTGCCTCACTTTCTTTTAAAGTGATTGTTGACTTGAAACCTCTAAAAAGTTCACAGACATTTGTGAAGGATACAGTAAAGTTCACAGACATTTGTGAAGGATACAGTAAAGTTCATTTTAAGACCTGCTCTGTGATAGCAATGAGGGCAGAATAACACCCCTCAGGGGAAGAACACCTGATAGTACGTGAAGGGATAGAATGGGCAGTGTATAACATTTGCATGAATAATAACAATACATAATACATTAAGGGTTAAGGGGGGGGGGCATGGTAGAGGAGGGAGAGGAAAAAAGGAGCTAATATCAAAGGGCTCAAGAAGAAAGATAGTGTTTAGAAATTGTTGATGCCAATAGTTGTACCTGTCTGCTTGAGATAATGGATGCGTGCTTTTTTATAATATATGCAAGAGCCCCCAATAAAATGATCTAGTTTCAAAATATATAACTAGTTATGGTTTCTATTAGGTACGGACTGGTGCATTTCAAGTTCAATTTGGAGCTTTTCTCATGATAACCAGTTTGTTCTTAGGTATATAAATGTCATGCTTCCGCAAAGGGGGGGGGGGTGTGGCGGGGGACAACCTGCCCTGTGCTTGCTTCCTGATAACTGTTTCTTTAAAGCTTTATGTGTAGTAGAATATGCTTTGAGATGTGTTTCATTATAATCTAATATTAACGTTGGAGTAGCCTTCACCTACCTTAAACATTTTGGTGCCTACCATTATGTACTAAAAAGCAACTAGTGGCTAATCATGAGCACATTAGCTGACACTTCTACTTCAAGGGACTTGAAAGTGAGCTCATCTCCATAAATTAAAAAGTGGGTGAGGAAGTTGTGAAGAAAAGGATGAAACTGTCCCTGAGGAAATGGTGCCTACAAAATAATTAATGTTATGTAATCTTTCAACTTGAGAAGGGGTGGAGTCTAGCCTGTCAATCAGGCCTCTGTGTGGGCATAGCCTTCTGCTGAGGATTCTGGGAACTCCTGTCTTCCTCCCTAGAGGTGGGACACACACTCTCTCCCTGTGTGACATTCCTGCTGACAAGCCATATGGAACTACACTGATGGAGCCAGAGCTCTGGAGCTGAAGGAGCCATGTGGAGACCCATGCCAGCACTGAGATGCTTCCACTACCACTGGATCCATGAGACTTTCTACCCACTGGCCTGTGATCTTCCTGCATTCAGTGTCATTGCATGGGTGCGTGAGTTTAAAGAGGAATTTATGGACAAGTATTGATATATGGGGGGTAATATCAGACTTATGAACTTGATCTGGATTGAGCTGGGATATTTTCTTAATGTACAATTACTCTTTAATATAAAGTTCTCTCTTAAAGTTTAAGAGAGACTTAAGCACAGCGCCATCACATACACTCCTGTCTTTTGGGATCCATCACGGACCCCATTATCAGCTGTGGATTTCTCTTTTGTTCATTAGGAAAGAATCGCAGCCCCTCTCCCCATGTACCGATGCTAGAAAACAAAACAGTCTATGCTACATCTGTGTAAACCATAACACCTATGTAAATGTAAGGAATTAAATGAACATTTCCTCAGAATTTTTTGCAGGAATATTTCACAAAGTAAGACATCTGCAAAGGCAATCTCAATAATTTGAATTAAGTCCATTCTGATTTATAACACTACCTATCCCAGCAGGAGGGTGAATGTGGCATGACCTGTGGAGCAGAAGATCCTCTCGCCTAAAACAAAGGATCTTCCCCCTCAAACTTGAAGTTTAAGACTTAAACACATATAAGTCTCCCTAGATATGTTTCTCTAGTCTTCACGGACTTACACAGAACTCTTGGAGGTAGTCCATAACATCAGACTCTTTTGATCAGTCTCATTTTTCTACAACACAGGTTCCTGTTTTTCCATGATTCACTCTTTCCATCTTCCTTCCTTCCTAGATTTCTTCTCCATTTTCTCTTCCTTTGGCTCTCTTGCGTGTATTGGTGACTCCAAGACTGTTTCTTACCCTACATACTCCACTGGCTCTAGAATTTTTGTAAACATCTCTGTCTTAAATGGTGATAGTGGTATGAAGTGATGATGAAGAAAAAAGAGCCTGTATCAATGATAGAAAGGAATTCTTACAAAAGACATCCACAAAACCCAGAAGGTGGGATGCCCCTTTATTTCACAACCTGGGTTTAGGATACAGCCAAAGGAGTCCATTTTGTTAATATGGATACCTATGAAGATTTTAGTCATTTATTAAGCAAATATTTACCCAAAAAATACCATTTATCATACTTAGTTATATATTCTGAGAGCACTATCCCATGACATAAATAATTTATTTGAAGCATTTTAACTCAGTTCTCCCAATGTACCACTTAAGCCTCTATGACTTAATCCATTATATAAGCAGAAGTGCCAGACCTGCTTGAGGGGAAGATCCTTTGTTTTAGGCGAGAGGATCTTCTGCTCCACAGGTCATGCCACATTCACCCTCCTGCTGGGATAGGTAGTGTTATAAATCAGAATGGACTTAATTTAAAATATTGAGATTGCCTTTGCAGATGTCTTACTTTGTGAAATATCCCTGCAAAAAATTCTGAGGAAATGTTCATTTAATTCCTTACATTTACATAGGCGTTATGGTTTACACAGATGTAGCATAGACTGTTTTGTTTTCTAGCATCGGTACATGGGGAGAGGGGCTGCGATTCTTTCCTGATGAACAAAAGAGAAACCCACAGCTGATAATGGAGTCCGTGATGGATACCAAAAGACACGAGTGTATGTGATAGCGCTGTGCTAAAGATCTGGAATTGACTGGACAGCAGGGGGTTTTAAAAACTACTGAAATGTCTCCTGCTGTGATTCTATTTAGAGAAGTAAGGATTATTTTAGAGATTTATTTTTATTTTATTTTTTTATTTTAGAGATTTAAACCTCTGCGAGCCATGCTACGTTTTACAGATCAGGTTTGTAGCCTCATGGTTGTTAGGTGCCGTCGAGTTTTTCTATAAAGCTCTGAAGAAGAGATCAGTTCAGTGGGTCACGTTATCATTCTCACAAGCATGCCAGCTCGTGTGACATTTAGAAAGTGTGGACGCTCAAATTCCCGCTAAAAAAATTCTCCGGGCAAAACACACACGCCTTGTGGCACATGGAAGACACCACCGCGGAGGCGTGCGGAGCTGCGAGCAGCATTTCGAGAGGGGGACAGTTGAACTTGGTGGTTCCGTGGCTAACATGGTGTCCAAGCACTGTGCACAGCGAAAGCGGGGAAGGAGGAGGTGGAAGAGGAGCGGAAGGTGGAAGAGAAGAAAAGAGGTGGAAGCACAGACGGGCAAGCCAGTGGGCCCGGGCTGGCAGGGGAGAGCAAGCGGCCGCGGAGTTCGGTCCTCCGGGCGGCAGGGGGCGCCCGCGCGCCCCGCCCCGCCGCGCGCCGC